TCAAGGAATCTGGAGGCTCGTTCAGCTGAGCTGACAAAATCATCAAGATTTACGGATGGTCCATCTGTTGGCTGCTCATTGTCACTTTCAAGGAATGTTAATGGCTCTGAAACGTGTAGCCTTGCTCAAGTCGGTATTTATTTACTTATGTGATCTTGAATTATTACCACCTTGTACAATCCAATGCATCATCGCTGATATTATGCTAAGTTACTCAGCGGTTCCGAGATTCCCATAATACCTAGGCTACCTAAGGGTATCGCAAAACCATATTGATTGACAATATGGACATGGACACAACGTGTGACTTCAGGCTGATTGACCAATCAAAACGTTATCAGGTTCACCTGCATTAAAAAAGCAAACTACCCATCTAAGACTTGAAATTCAATGATCTGATCGGGTGTTTCTTGAGAGTTACAATATATTATGTTATTAAATGTACATTTGAATGTAAGCAGTCATTAATACTCGTCTAAATAAAATCATGCAATTCAATGTTGATTCAAATCAAAACTGAATTCGCGATGGAAATGCACGAAGACCTAGTCCGACAATGTAGGGCCGTCGTTGATTTGTCAAATTTTACCGACAAAAACATTGGGTTGGTAAAGCACGTGTCTTTCTCTTGAGTACAAGGCGGTCATAATAGAAATCAAGATAAGTAAAAGAGACCGACTTGGGCAAGGCTATGAAACTTGATTTCTGGGTATTCCAGTGGGCCGTTGGGTCTTTTGCTCTGAATTCACTTCATTGGCTTACCTAATTTCAACATTTTCATTGTCATCATTACATGTTATGGACCCGTTTTTCAAATTAACATTATTAGCGATAAAACCATAGTTTTTTAGCCTATTGGATTGACCAGGCGTCCGTCCGTTTGTCCGTCCGTCCGTCCGTTGGTCCGTCCGTCTGTCAACATTGGCTGCACAAATTAAAACTGCTATCTGGACTGAGTCATTTCCACATTCATTTTATGGATATCCATAATGTTTATTTGACCTATCATTGCCATTTCCCAAGTTCGGCCGGTTTCCAAGAAATTGCTGATTTTTTAATTTCGAGAAAAATCGATCTGATGATAACTTTTAGAAAGTCAAGAGAAGTGAAGAAAAGATTGAAAAATATACCAGTCCAGTCCAGGTCCAAGTCAAGGTCCAGTTCAGGCCCAAGTCCAGATCTAGGTCTAATCAGGTTTAATCTAGGTCAAAGGTCAAGAACTAGGTCAAATCCAGTACTTTGTCATTTTTTCAATTTTCTCAGTCGTCCTTTAATATTTTTGCTCCGTTTTTTTTCATCACGTTCCTTGGAAAAAAGCTAATCCCTACAGGCAAGTTGTTTTGATCACTTTTACCGTTTTAGGGATATGGCATCCGAAAAGTAGGTCACAATAAAAAAGTTCTTGGAATTCAATGTATGAGTTATGAAATATGTGAAGAATTGTCCAAGGAATCCGAATCTGCAAACCAGATTTTGATCCGACTTCCGGTTCGGAAGTTATGGCATTTTGAAATCTCAAAAATCGCTATTTCGGTATCCCATGTTAAGTCAATGGGGCTTGAGAAAATTATCAATTGTAACATCACAACACTAGATACAGCTTGGATGCAGCCAACTTAATAGGAATCTACAATAGAAGCCATCCTCAAAATCTACTTTCCTTCAAAATTTGGACACTAAAAGGCCTAGGTCAAAATCTAGGTCAAATTCATAGTTTTTCCTTTGACTACAACAAATCATATCTGAACCAACAACAAAGGACTCATCTTTTATTGATCTCATATTTACCAATACTTTTGTTTGAAAATCAGGATATACATTCCTCTGAAGGTTCTACACTGCGTGAGCACAGGACCGTGGGTCCTTTTTATCATCTGTAATGGCATTTTCCAGTTGATGGGTTTATATATAGTATTTTCAATTTTTCATGAGGGTGTCTTTAAACTACTTCTAATGGGGTGGCCAATTACTTTACTGAATGAGGAATGTTTATCCAAACAATGGATACAAAGAAAATCTGGCCAGTTGTCCATCAGTAAATAAATCATCATGATAAAAGTATAATTTATTAAAGCATCCTTTTGTTACCGTTCTGAATCCAAATGATACATAGGTGCATCCATTTATATGTTGACGTTTACGAAATGTTTTTCAAATATCTTCCCTATAACAGGAATATGGTAGCTGAAACTTTCACACATTGTCATACTATGTATATTGAATATGTATGCAAGATTTCAAGTCACGATGTTAAGTAGAAACTCTGAGATCACTTACCTCGATTTGCTGTCATATTTTTGCAATGATCCCATTCCCTATAATGTACGCGAGCACCCACGATACATTACATATAAATGACTGCATCCACATAGATCGACTAGCCACAGTGTAACAAGCAGACTTGCAGTAAATTGGCCATTGCAAATTGCAAAATCAGATCGTCAAATTAATCGCTTCGTTTTTAAACATATCCTTCATATCTCCATCCAAAACTTTAGGATTTGATAGAGATAAGTTATAACTTGTACAGGAAGAAATGGCAGATCCTACCTTAATTTAGAATCGCTGATTTATCTGGATAAATTCCGAGAAGAAATTGTTCAACATCGTGATCAGCTCAGACTACATGTCGTGTGCATGTCATGTGATGTGAACTCTGAACTCGCGTGATAAAATACGGCATCTTGATTGGTTACTACTCGTGTTGTCATGACGCGAAAAGCAGTAGTAAACACTGCATATGTTAATGAACTGCCATATATGGAACAACTGTCTTTCTGATTGGTTAACTTTACATGCCTCCTAAATGAATATAGTAGTCGTAGTAAATGTTTCATTGATAACTATGAAAGTGGGCGTGACCAGCTTTATTTGGACACCAAATTCAAGATGTTTCAAATTGAAATGGCCCCGCAAGCCCGCCCGCAAGACGAGGTTGAAATATCGGCAATTTGATACTGATATGGTCTACGATAGATCAAAATTGCCTGCCCCGCGTCACATGTCACGTGAGCCTATATTTGTTGAAAAATGAAAGAGATAGTGACACTTTTTACACCCCAGTCACATTTCCTACGGCGACCTTGCGGTCTATCATTTCTGCGGCCAGTAGCTTTTCTACGCTCGCCGCAGAATTTCTGCGCTCTCATACTTTTGCAGTCACATTTCCCACGGCAGCCGCACGGTGAATTTTAAATTTATATTGATAAATAATAGTTTTTTTCATTTTATTTACATCAGGACAATTTATAAATGTTATTCAAAGTGCTAGGATGTAATATCAAATGAAAAGTGATCGTGAAACATTGACAAATAATGATTCAATCTTGTTGAGCCAGTTGATTTCTACGGGGACCTCAGAAATGAAAAAATATTATAACTCCGAGTTATAATTTCTACGCCTTCCCTGCGGCCTGTAAAAATCTGCATAGGCCGTACGGAGGCCGCAAGGCGAGCGTAGTTTTTCTACGCTCGCCGCAGAAATTCACCGATTTAATTGTTCTGCGGTCGACTTGCGGCCGCCGTGCGACAAATGTGACTGGGGTGTTAATCTTAAGTTATACCAATATTACAAACACATATCCTATTTTTTCATTATATATTTATTTCTTCATTATATGTACATTTCTTTTAAACTATATTGATTCATTTTTGCAAAACCTTTGCTATTAGATCTTTAAAGTCAGAATCAGATCTACAAGGGGTGACAAAATTGCAAACACCATGTACACTTGATCTACCAATCTATTTCTTACGATCTCAAATATATCAGGGAGTTTAAGCTTGCATAAAAAATCGAAACGCCAACATATACGTATGACCAATCACCCATACAAATTCATCGCTTAAATATTTTCCGTTTACGTTTAGGTTGTGAAAACATTGCAAGCTTTAACTCCCTAATATCTCGTAAAAGACCCGCAATATGTTATGAATTGGTTGAAGTTATTTAAGTACAAAAATTGGAAAATATTTAATTTATAGCATGAGCCAAAAATATTTAAAAGTTTTTTTTGTAATGCCCACTCTCGCTAGGTCTGATTCTCCCTTTAAACAACAATTTACTATTGACACGCAAGATAGTGTTATGCTACGATGATGTTGCTTGTTGCTCATTCGGTTAGTTTGTCTTGTTCGTATCAACGTGACCAACTTTACACTCCCCGACCTTTTTTTGTACATCACGTAGCCAGAACGGTCGACATTTAAGCACTACTGCTGTGTACGCAATTTTATGACAGTTTAGGACTGATTAGTTTTCAGGCATTCTGGGTAAATGTTCAGGTGGCCATTTTGGATGTTTTGTCCTAAAATCTTGTCTTTTGAAGCTTGTCTACAGGATTCCAGCCGAACTGTATCAGGGATTTATCTGACATTTCCAGGAATGTTTCTAAGTATGAAAGTTTAGAACTAATTAGTTTTTGGGCATTATGGGTAAATGTTAAGACGGCCCATTATGAATTTTCCGTCCTAAAATCTTGTCTGTCAAGTCTTGTCTACAGCTTTCCAGCCAAACCGTTTTACGAAATTACTTCAAATTTTTACACACGTTACATGATAAGAGGTTCTCGAGCCATCTTGCTTTCTGGCGGCCAGATCATTGATAAATCTTGTCATTGCGATTCCAGGAAAATTAACAACTTTTCGGAATTACTTACGATAACCAATTTTATAAACAGGCCTCATTTGCCATTGGAATCGATCTCATGATGTTCGCTTTTGTTTTATGATTATTCTGTGCAAGTTTGGATAGCGTAACTTAAATAGTTATACCGTAGTTTCCAAATGATTATGTTGAACCGAAAAAACTGCCATGGATTTAAAATTTTACTTTGCGCATGTGCAGCTCTGAGAAAACATGTGCTAGTGTTTGTTCACGTGATCATAGCCTGCAATTTGATTGGACATCATATAATAATGACCATAATTCAAATAAATTATGTTCATGAATACCAAGTAAAACCAACGTATTATTGGCGCGACTCAGTTCTTTTGAGCTAAACGAAGCAAAAAGGGGCATTGAATTATTTGGTTAAAAGTTATTATTATTTGAGTTAAAATGGAAGGAAACGTACAAGAAGTGAAACGTGTTGCGGTGATTGGTGCCGGGTGTGCAGGTCTAGTTGCTCTAAAGGAATGCCTGGAGGGAAATCTACAAGTAGTTTGCTTTGAGAAAAACAATAAAATAGGTTAGTTATTATAGGTTATAAGTTGTATTATATTTGCACATTTCCTTTATACGGAAGATGGGAAATTATAATAAGTATCTAAAATACATATTATATCCCCAAAAATAGATGAACTTGAAATGCATTTTTAATTTCATTTTCAGATATGTTTTTAAATCACTATCCTTGTATAAACCTAATAATTATCTTACTAGAGTATTTAACAATGGTGTTGTATGCTGGTTCTTAGGAGCAAAACATTAAATTTCCAAAACCCTCGACTTCTTTCTGTAATTCCATTTTCAAGTGACAATGTTAATTAATATATTATTATCTGATCTGTATCTGGGTAAATATCACACTTTATTCTTTATTTAAAGATTGTTATGTGAAATATCAGAACACATGAAATCTAGTCTTGTGCTATTTGACGCGTTTTTCTTGGTGAAGTTCCCGCCAAATGTCAAATGAATCGGAATGATCATACTTCTTTTACTTCCTTTTTAGATTTCGGATTATACTAACAATTAAAAGATGTGTATAACTATCGAAGGCTTAGAAAAAAAGAATATTTTGGAAGAATAACATCAATTAGATTCCTTTCCATCAATTAAATGCAATAAATACACTTTCGCTTTCTTATTAAATGTGAAAGTGCTCTTATAACGAGAGTGAAAGTATTTGGTCGTTGATAGGAGTCCCCCAAAACAAATGTCACAATGAATATATCCATACTCCATACCATCTAATCCGGAAATCAAATGTAACGTGACATAGTTTTTCCTAACAAGATAATCTTGGAGAAACCCCAAACTCACAGCCTGGTATCGAAAGATTTGTCTGCTGTGGCGGAGCATGCTATTTTTCATAAAACACTAAGAATACTTCACAATTTATTTGTTGACTCATATGTTTTGTCATATCAAAGAAAATAACTTATTCAATTCAATGGATACATCATTTGCGGATAAACTTCACTTCTGTTTGAAGCCCAATAACGCTAGGAGTAAAAGCTATCGAAAACGGCGCCAGAGTATCATACTCTAAAATGTACCATTTCTTTTTTAACTTTTTAATGGTATGATAAAGTGACACGATCATATTTATATATGTTTTCAGTATAACTCTAAATGTTTGTTAGATCTGGATGTATTGAGTCTTTCTAATTTTTTTTTTATAAAAAATGATTTTTATTCATTTTTGTCCGCTGTGACGGAGCAAAAGTGAACTGTGAAACTGCTCCAGCACAGCGGACAAAAAAAATTAAACATAAGACCAAATACATCAATATCTCATTTATACCTTCAGAGTTTTGCTAAAAACTTATGTTTTTATCGTGTCACTATATCGTGCAATTAAAATGTTAAAAAAGAAATGGAACATTTTGGAGTATGATAATCCGGTGCCATTTTCGATAGCTTTTCCTCTTAGGGTTATGGGACTTCAAACAGAAGTGAGAGTTATCCACAAATGATATTTCCATTGCATGGAACAAGTAATTTTCTTTGGTATAACGAAACATACGAGTTAAAAATAAATTTTGATGTATTCTTAGTGTTTTTATGGAAAATTACATGCTCCGTCACATCGGACAAATCTTTCGATACCAGCCCGGGAAACTGTTAGTGAAAAAGTTATATCACATTTATATACAAAATTAATTCTAACTTGGGTATATGATACGCGTCCTATCATATTGCAATAGATTCCCCATATTAATACAAATATATGATAATAATAATGGCGTATAATTTCTTCAAGAAATAAAACTAAAAACGGCAAGTTATTGTAATTGAATTAAACGGTCCCTTATTGATGACACTGGACGAAGTGTTTCTGAAAATTGCCAAAAATAGGAGTCATTGTAGCAGTTCCAACTCCTTAATTCTATTATAAAGGATAGGTATCGATATGGTGAACTGAATTCAACAATGTTTTTCTCTTAAACCAATTATTGAAAACATCCTGTAAAAGAACACGGTCCTTTATGTAGTGTTGACTGATTGGCAACAATTTAATGCCAAAATTATATATACGTATATTCTATATAACTCTTTTTGTTAACGTTTTTTGTTAACGTTTTTTGTTTTTAGTACAATTGTTTTTTTGTTCCTTTCTACCAATTCTTGAGAATGGAATAACATGTCTAAATTTAAACCTTTTATTTCATTAACAAGATACTTTTTTAAAATCAACCAAACTTTCCCTTGTACAATTACAATATTGAGAGACCTAAACACGTTGTGTTTATGTCGATTTGTTCCAATGAGGTTCGGATAGATGTTTCATTTCATTCCGAACCTATTTTATTATTTTTATTTATTAGGATAAAACGCTTTTACAACAGCGGCACTACTAAAATTTAGTGTGCATCCAAAGAGACTAAAATACATATGTTATGATTCGGTCAGTACGTAATTATATTTAATTATATATAATTACTTTATTATTTATTTGTTATTTATATCTAATATAAAATAACAATTTATATTCAGCATATTCCAACATTGTAAAGATCTTGCTGTATTCTTATGATTAATTACTATTTAGACCTCAGTTTGCTTTAGTGCAGGGGAATCCCTACGCTACTATATTCAGCCAAAATAAAGATATATCAGAAGAATTCTGACAAGTTAAAACTTCCAAGAACCAATCACAACTCAGAATTACGATTTGAATCTTGCTTACATAAGCATGAAATCAGCAATATTCTTACTTATATTTGCACAATTTTGACAGGTAAAATAATGTATTTTACCTGGTATATAAAGAAGTTGGCAAGATCTGTTGATTCAGTATAGTTTTACTCACTCATAACGATGCTCAACAATTGATGAAAGGAGAAACAATAACAAGCGAATCTACCGAAACTCTGCTGGCCGAATCAATCTCAAGAAGAATTGGAATTTGAAATAAAATTAGGAAACAAAACAAAGGAGTTGTGTTCGATAAGGTAGTCAGGAACCCTGCGAGTACCGAAGGACCACAAGATCCCGAAGCAACAGTTACGATACGTAACACATACATACAATAGGTTTAAATCATTAAAAATACATTTCTTTAAAAATTCGTAAACACATTTCTCAATTTTTTTTATTTGGTCCTGCCCCCATGTGCCTATGTAAAGTGAATCACCGATAATCCATTGTAGCTTATCGTTAAGGCTCGCTGATAAGTATTCACCTACAAGGGCAACGTCACATGAAGAGATTAGATTGTTAATGAACAGGTTTCTTTTATCCTGGAGGACGGGGCAAATGAACAGGCGATGGGACATAGAGTCATAAGAATTGGAGGGACATAATTTACAAAAGCCGTCACTTTTATTCCACCTTTTAAGGTCTGATTCTAATTTAAAGCAACCCGACCTAGCTAAGAATTTTTGTCTTGCTCCTTGGAAGTTGAATGGTTTTTTAGGTACTCTTCTTGGAAGACATGTCTCTTATAAAGGGATACGGATTGCCGGTCGCAAATTGATGAAAACAATTCCTTAGTAGTAATTTCGTATTTTTATATTTGGTATTGATACGACTTTAAATTTTTCTTCATTTCGCTTGTGTTTGGAAGGAGGACTCCTGCTCCATGCAATATTGAAGGAAGGAACATGTTATTATACATGGTGTTACCAAATTGAATTCGTTGGATATTACAATGTTTGTTGAGGGTTGAGGTTATGTAACCTTTGAGCTTTTTTGATTTTAAACCAAGAATATTATTAATATGGTGCCAGTCTTTCAGTGTTTTGTCAAAATAAACGCCAAGGTACTTATATGTTTTTACTTCATTGAGGGAGAGCTCACCAAGCTTCCAAAGTTTATGTTTGTTAACTATGATAAAAACAAAAGAAGTGTCTGGTGTGTTTTCTAAAACAATATAGAGATAAGTATATATATATTTTTCAAATTATAATATTACCATCCAAAAGATGACAATTAAATTGACGATGCGTAAAATGTTTCAGAATGTTTTGATGATTGGTTTAAGAGAAACGTGTGTTCAAAAAGTTCACCATATCGATACCACTCCTTTCTGTTTTCTTTACAAAAAATAAGGGTGAGTATCCTCTTCAAATATGTAAGTAAAATCAGTATTATATATTCACAGCAACATGCTGTAAAAGGCTTTGAAAGGGAGTTAAAAACGATTTAGTTGGCATAGATATATACAACCTTTAAATGTATCTAGCTCATTATCCATTACTAAAATCTCCAGTACTAATGTTTGTTTTTTGATCACTCTTACTAATTTTGAGATATCAGTGTCCAAAAAGTAGATCTACAAAAATTAATAGAGAAAACTTTTTGAATTTGAATATTTAAATACCAAGCTCGAATCTATGATTTTTTCTGATTTTTCCGATCCTGACACAACACTTACACATTTTTCTTTGAGTAAACATATAGGTCTAGTAAAGATTAACTTAACTTTTGACATAGTTTAGAGATAGTCCAGTGTTACGCGGTATATGGCATACATTTATGGTTGCGCGGTATTTGTGTTACAAGCAAATATGGCATACTCACCTGCCACGGTGTATAACCCAAACGCTCCTACATGCACGACGGAGCGTTTCATTACTGAAATTAAACAAAGAAACGCTCCGGAGTAGGAAAACTGACTGGCGGGAATGATGAGCCGTCTGACGATTTTCCCAATAATGGGAATGAGAGGTATGAGTTACATATTTCGAGTATACCATTCGATGGGTGTGATATTCATGTTGTACTTGACTGTCTGTTGACGTTTGAAGCAATTAGGAAGAGCTGTACGAAGCAGTATAGTTATCAAAATTCAAAAACGTATTTGTCATTCTACCGGTCAAAACCCCTTTTGTCGATACATGTGATTAGTTGAGCTAAGATTAGAGCACCAACGTATATTTTAGTCAAATTCCAATGCTTCAACGCACCATACATTACCGTAATAGTGATTTGATGACCGAAAATCCAGTCTTAAAAATGATGACATTCTCATATTCAAGAAACGCTCCGATCTGGTTAACACAGTGAACTGGAAACGCT